GCCCGGCTATTTTTTGGTTGCAGCCGTCATTGTTGTTTTGGCGGGTCCGGGCTGGGGATTCGAACCCACCACCTTAGGTGTACATGGCTGGCGCCTTAGCCGGTTGAGCTATAGGCGCCAAGCCGGGGCACTTTCTTGACAAAAGGAGATGGTAGCACAGAACTGCAGTTAAAAGCACAGAACCCTGCTTCCAGAATTTGAACTGGATTTTTCCCTTTCTTTTCACCGTGGCTAAGCACTTTATAAGCCTCAGTTTTCTCATAGAGAAAATGAAATGATAATAATTCTACCTTAGGGGGCTGCTGAGAGGATTCAATAAATTAATGCTTAAGAACACTTAAAATAGTCCTTGACATATCTTAAGCATGTAATAACAGTGGTTCTTCTTTGCACTAAATTTGCCTCGCCTTGGTTAGGACATTTAAAATAGATTGTAAATGTGCCTGGAGTGTATGGAGTTTCCTTATGAGTCTGGGCACGTCACTACTCCCTTTTCCCTTCAGCCAGGCAAACATTAAACCTCATCCCCATGGCCGGAGTGGGGGTCTAAAACTCTCCCCTCCTTCTTGGGTCCCTGGATATTCCAGCTTCCTCCTGAGTCTGTGGACTCCTGTCTCATGACTGCCATTTCCCACAAGTAGCATCCCTCCCTGTGCAAGGCCTTTCCATGGCTTCCCAGTGCCCTGAGGACAATCCCCCACTGCTTTCACATGACCTAGCAAGTCCTCTGTGAGCTGGTTCTTGCCCACCTCTGCAGCCCCATCTTTGCCACTTCCTCATGATAAGGAAATATTTACAGTTCCTTGAATACAACGTGTCCTCATTTCACTCTGAGCCTCCATGCAAGCTGTTTATGCTCATCTCACATCCTTTGCCTGACTTGTTCAACAGTACTGAGGCTCCTCCTTCTCCAAACCCCCCCCTCCCCCAGACTGATCAGGACAGCCCTGTCTATCCCTGGCTGTCACTTTCTGGTGGGGTAGCAGAGGATATGCTTCCCTCACTGGACCGGGCACTTGTGAGGGTAAGCCCTCTTAACTGCTGGAGGCATACCACCACTGAAGGGGGCCAGCCAGGGGACTGAAGCAGTCAGTCCGTTTGACCTTCGGCAAACTAGAAAACTCCAAGAGATGGCTTAGGTGATCTGGGGAGAGGTGAATGGGTGAATCCCGAGGTGGGTGGGATGGGGCATGGAGACTCTACCGGTCCTTGTGCAGCTTCAGAAGCCTCTTCACATCTTCTCTGCCCCTGGGGACTGGGCCAGCCTTTTCCAAAGCCTCCTTCAGGAGCTGGCTCTTCTCCAGGCCGAAGACGTGAGGGGGAGCAGCCCCCTTAGCAGGGGGTGGAGGCAGTATTGGGGGTGGTGGGGGAATAGGGGATTGGAGACTGTAGGGAGGGGGTGGAAAAGCTGAGTCTGGAGGACTGGGGGATAGGGGAGGAGGTAGGAAGATGGGGGGCTGGGATGCAGAGGCTCCTGGAGGAGGGATTGCTGGTTTTAGGGGAGAGTATGGAGAAGTCATTTTGAGGTCTACAGGAGAGACTGAAGGGGTGAGAATGGGAAGGGAAAGGATCCTTCAAAAGGGCTTGGCTTCAGGGATGGAGATTTTAAAGGTTTTAGATCTGAGCTTCAGAACTTGGGTGCTAAGCAATGGCTCTGAAAGCACCAAGGCTAAAATTTGAAACCATGGATTCAGGGAATGGGACTCACTCAAGTCAGGGAGGAACTGAGGATTAATGGAATGGGGTCCTTAAATCTGGAACCACAGCTGTGGTACAGGTCTGGGGTGTGTTGGGATGTTTAGGGAGGGACATTTAGGAGGACTCACTAGGAGTTAACCTATTCTCTGAGACTAGATTTGGAAACTCATGGGTCAAATACAAGATATGAAAAGCAGGAGTCAAGGGTCTAAACTTTAGGCCTGTGAACCTCAACCTGTGGGTCGGGACATTATAGGGTCGTGGCATTAGGAAGGTTGAAAACCACTGGAAGGGACTTAGGGACTTAGCCCAAGACTAAATATTTGGGGAACTTAGGTCTTGTACCCCTTCAAATCCCAGGCCCGAATATGGAAACTTGAGCTGACCTTTGAGTCAGAGATCAAGAGGTCAAAAATGACACCAGTCAGGGAAAACGGCCTAGTTGTGGAGATGGTCCTGACATCACAGAGCAACAGGAAAAGTCTGTGGGTTGAAGACTCTAAGATCGGAGGCCGGACGGAGGCGCAGTAAGAGCTGGAAAAGAAAAAAAAAGCGTAAGGAAATAAGACTCGGATAACCCTCCCGCAAAATGGCGGCCCCCGCACAGCGCCTTTCGCAAGTCACATGGTAGCACTCACAACAGGTGCCCACCCCACTTGGCGATCACGTGATAGAATGCTAGGCGGGGAGAAAAATAGTAGTTTCCAAAGAACGGCCTCCGGAAAGGACTGTTAGAACCGATTGGCAAAAAACTCGTGACCTCCACTGATTGGTCCATAGGGGGGGTGGGGCGGAGTTTTTCTGCCTCGGCGGGAGCCCAAGTGTCGTTTTGATTGGTCAGATCAATTTACTCTGATTGGGCAAGCTATTGATTTTCAGCACTGGGATTGGCTTATGGAAAGGCAAAGGTGGGGCTAAGAGAGAAAGCTTCATGGTATGATATCGCGAACACGGCTACTTGTGTGGACTGAAGCCCTGTTGGTGAGTTGCTTCGGGTACAGGCGAGTATGGGCGCCAGACAAGTGCAATTGATGTCTGGGTCTTCCTACGCTTCGTCTGGGAAACCTCAGGGCGCCAGTATCGCGCCCAAAATTCGTCTCTTTTCTTACCTGGCTCATACATCCGGGTTTTTTCTCTAGGGCGGCCCTTTGGGCGTGTGGGCCAATGGGAGTTGCCATTTAGGACGCTCCGCCTTCTGGGTCATATAGAGCATCCTGGGGCTGGTAGTAGACCTCTCGAGATTTCCCTCTGCACGCGCGCGGGCAGGGGAAGCCGAGTTCAGCTCGCGCTTTGTTGCCCGGGCGGTTCCTCCATTCTGTCCCGCGCGCCCACCTTACCAGACTTCCTCTGGAAGGGAAGATCTTTGAGCAGCCCTTTAAGCGAGCGTTGGGGCAAAGGATTTGGAGAAACCCGGGACTAAAGTCACCTTTATCCTTTTTTAAGCCCTACCTCGGCACCTCACTCACTCCATGGCAGTTCCCGAGGCCCGCCCCAACCACACTATTTATATCAACAACCTCAATGAGAAGATCAAGAAGGATGGTGAGTTCTGTCCTCAACAATCCCCTAGTTCTGCCCTTTAACTTTGTCACTTTTGCTTATTCTTGAAGGTTTCCCCTCACAGAATCCTTTCTCCAGTTAGCCTTCCCCATCCCCCTCTTCCCTCAGGTGGCTGCCCCCGACTGACCACAGGCCATGGCATTCTCCGTCAGGCCCTGATCTCTGGGCTATCGTGGGGTCTGTCTATCCACTTAGTGGCCTTTGAGCTCTGTGAGGGTAGGGGCTGGGACGTTTCTGGTCATTAGTGTTTTCAGTGATCAGTCCACAGTGAAAATGTACAGTAATAATGATGACTTAACACTCAGTATCATGGGCTGATTCGTGTACTTTTATATAAATCTGAATTATATTTAATTCTCACAAGAAGCCTGTAGTAAGAGGCTGGATGCAGAGGCTCATGCATGTAATCCCAGCGTTCGGGGTGCCTTGAGTACTCCCTTGAGACCAGCCTGCCAAGAATGAGACTCCTTCTCTACTAAAAATAGAAAAATACTAGCTGGGTATGGCGGGGGCACCTGTAGTCCCAGCTCTTCAGGAGACTCAGACAAGAGGATTGCTTGAGCCCAAGAGTTTGAGGTTGCTGTGAGCTATGATGATACCATGGTACTCTACCCAGGGCGACAGAGTGAGCCTGTCTCAAAGGAAAAAAAAAGCCTGTAGGAAGAACCTGTTGTAATGCTTATTTCTCAGGAAATTGAGACTCAAGGTGATGTGACTTCCTCAAGGTCACATAGCAAGGAAAATGGTTGATGCCACTTGTGTGCAATTCTGCTTAACAATTGAATTTAACTCAGAAAGACTTTTCCACTTTTTTTTTTTTTTTTGAGACAGATCCTCAAGCTGTCCCCCTGGGTAGAGTGCAGTGGCATCACAGCTCACAGCAACCTCCAACTCCTGGGCTCAAGTGAGTCTCCTGCCTCAGGCTCCTAAGTAGCTGGGACTACAGGCCCCCGCCACAGCGCCTGGCTATTTTTTGGTTGTAGCCGTCATTGTTGTTTGGCAGGCCCGGGCTGGATTCGAACCCGCCACCTTAGGTGTATGTGGCTGGCACCTTAGCCACTTGAGCCACAGGCACCGAGCCTTTTCCAGTTTCTTGAGTATTTCTCACCTTTGTTGAACTTCATTTTCCGTATCTGAAAACTGGGCAGAATCCTATCTTCTTTGCATGGATCTTGTGGGGCGATTATTTTATCGAAACTTTTGTGCAGGGCTTTTTATGGTAGCAGCCATTTTTTAAGGGCTGCATAAATAATTATCTTTTTGATTATCAAAAGAAAATTAAAAGAGCTTCCTGGGATTAAGTTTGCATTTGCCAATAAAGTTGCTGTTGAGAAAAAGAAAATCAGGAATGTAAATTTTACTTATAATTTTAGAGTGTGGTACGTGGTCAGTGCTAGAGGAACACTGGTGACAGAAGACCTGGTTCTGCAGGACAGTGTCAGCCCAGAGTAGTCAGGGTCATGATAGCACAGGCAGAGACAGGGATTCATTTAGCTTCATGGAAAAGAAGACAGGAACGTCACATAGAAGAAGCAGTATCTATGTTACAGTGAGGGTGACAAGGATTCCTAACTTGGGCTATCTTGGTCTTCGGACCAAAAGAACCTAGAGCATTCTGGACATTACAAGTAGTTTTGTGGGCCTGTGACTCCCAGAGAAGCTTCCAGAGAGCAGTGCTCTGATGGCTTTTGGCTGTGAGACATTAAGACTTTGTTCTGGGAGTGCTGGGGAGCCAGGCTGCACCCTGTCCTGACTGTGTGTCTTATACAACATCTTCCCAGCTGTGGAGGGTGAACTTGAATGGGCAAGAGGGGAGGCTGGAGAGTGAGGAGAGGCCCAGAGTCCAGTGGAAGGACTGAGGTCTGAACAAGGTTTGTGGGGATGGAGCTTGGAGAGGGAAGCTGGAAATGTCACCACCAGGAAAATTTTGGGGGAATTGCTTCAAAACACCTGTTCCCATCTCCTATTCCAACATATATACGCACCTTCTCTTCTTTTCTCTTCTAGTATCTCTTTCACCAAGCAGCTTTAGCTTTGGTTCAGCTATCTTGTGTGCTTAAAATATTGGTACTCCCTTCTAGATGGTGAGAGGGATCCTTGTTCACCTTGAATCCCACCAACTGTCAAGTTAGACTGATTGCTGGTGAGGTGTGGTACTGGGTTCAGATGGATTTGTGTCATGTGGTCCCAGCTCTGACATGTACTTCCCCTCATCCTCAGGATACTTGCCCTGGAAGCTGAGGAATTCTCTGAGAACCTGTTTCCATCTTGGTAAAATCAGGGCAGTCTTAGTTGTCACCTCATGGGGTTGTTGTGAAGGTTTAGTGACGTTATTTTCATAAAGCACTTCATGGTGTCTTTAGTGGTGAATGTTTGTGGAGACATTTCTGTGCTGGGGTCTGCACTAGGCATGAAGATGCTGCAGCAAACAAATGGGGCATGTTTACAGCTCTTGAGGAGAGAGACAAGTAAACATATCACGTCAGGAGGTAGAAAATGCCATGAAGGAAAAGCAAGTAGGGTAAAGGGATCTTCGGGGCATTTACACATGATTCTGAGGTACCAGCATGTGTGCTGAGCCCTGGGTTACTAGGCGGCAGCTATGTAAATACCAAGGTGAGGGAGGATGTTTCAGATAGAGGGAGTAGTCAGTCCCAATGCCCTGGGGCAGGATTGATGTGTTGGCTGAGAGGGGGCTGGGAGGCCAGTGTGGCTGGAGACTCAGGTGTGCAGTAGAGTGTAGGCAAAGATGAAACTGCCAAGGTTACATTACACAGGCCTGTGTCAAGGTGCTGGTGGCTGTAAAAAGAGGTGTTCATTAACTGTTTACTATGTTCCAGGTGCCATTCTGAGCCCTTTGCACATATGTACTCATTTCCTTTTATAGCAGGTCTCGTAGGTACTATTACTGTCTTTATCTCACAGAAGAGCATACTTGGCAACTTGAATGGTTCTTAGCAGCTGTTCCTGCTAGGTCTTTTTTTTTTTTTTTTTGAGATGGAAAGACTTCTCAGTCTGTCACCCTGGGTAGATTACAGTGGTATCATAGCTCATATCAACCTCAAACTCTCAGACCCAAGTGATTTTCTTGCCTCAGCCTCCAAAGTAGCTGGGACTACAGGTGCCTGCCACAACGCTTGCCTATTATTTAGACACAGGGTCTCACTCTGGTTCAGCCTGGTCTCGAACCTGTGAACTTGGGCAATCCACCCGCCTCAGCCACCACACCCAGCCTGGAGTCTTGCTGTTGCTCAGGCTGGTCTCGAACTCCTGAAATCGTGACCCACCCGCCTCAGTCTCCCAGAGTGCTAGGATTATAGTTGTGAGCCACTGCGTCTGAGAGGACACTGATCCACACCTTTCTGGATGCTGTCAGTTTGGCTGATGGCTTCGCATCTGGGTTCACTTCCTCTGGAATGAAGTGTTTGGGATGTTCAAATCTTAAGACATGATGCCAAGGCCTTTGGTCACCTGTGGGTCTTTTCTTTCTCCACTGCAGAGCTGAAGAAGTCCCTGTATGCCATCTTCTCCCAGTTTGGCCAGATCCTGGATATCCTGGTATCCCGAAGCCTGAAGATGAGAGGCCAGGCCTTTGTTATCTTCAAGGAGGTCAGCAGTGCCACCAATGCCCTTCGCTCCATGCAGGGTTTCCCATTTTATGACAAGCCCATGGTGAGCATTGTGGGTATGGAAGTTGTGTGTGTGCAAAATGCTAGAGGAGACTGAGTGGGCCTGCTTGGAGTAGTGGGGTGTAGGGGTCTGGTTACCAAGGTGTGGTGCATCAGGCTCGGGGTGGGGTGAGGTGGGGGGTTGGAGGGGGGAGGGGTTGGGCCAGGACCACGA